TTTGGCTCATAATAAATGTGTTTGACTTAGTTTATTCCATCTTAGCCAATTTTACGTTTCCCACCAGTTCTTAAAACAGCCCATATCGCCAAACTGACCCAGTCATATTTCAGCCAACCTGCCCAGCAAGACGCTAAGGTGAGGCCACCTGCATTCTCAGACAACACAGAGGGAACAGTTCCCACCAAGTGAATTTAACTCCAGCCAAACTTAACTGAATGTGGGGAAAGTTTGATGTCCTAGGTGACCCCAGAGCTGTTCAGAGTATGTGAGTAGCAAAGCAGAGCAGGGCAGGGGAACCACCAGACCATTTCGTGATCAAACCAGATGGACAGGACTTGGCCGGGCACTTTTCATGTTAGTTCATCCTCCCAACAAGCCCGCCAGTGAGGTGTTTTTCACCTCTTTCACAGGGAGATTAAGTAATTTACCCGGAGTGACACAGCCAGAAGGGGCAGACCTGGGATTGGAACCAAGTCTGTCTGGCTTCAGGACCTGAACTCTTTCTGTGGATCAGAAAGATGGATAGAAGGATAGCCATCAGCGTTGCTGGGCTTCAAGGCTGCTTATGGCATGGTCCCATGTTGTTGTTAGAAAATAACTAACATTTATTGCATTGTGCTAAAATGGTACATAATCTCATTTAGTCCCCCTAATTACTCTATGTAACACTTTTGCAGATGAGGAAATTGAGGTATAGGGAATCTGAATAACTTGTCCAAGGTCACACAACTAGTAAATGGCTGAGCTACGATTCAAACCCAGAGAATCTGTCTCCCCAGCCCACACTTTTATGCCCCGTGCTGTGCTTCTCCTACCAGAAACTGGGGCCAGCAGCTCTCAGGCACTAATTCCAACAGTTCTAAAGCCCTGTCCAGGGGCAGGAGGAGGGACATGACTATCCAGATAATTAACGCATGAGCTTTGGAGTCAGGCAGGGCTAAATTCACATCTAGCCTGGAGCCCTCACCTGGCGGGCTGCCCCTCCGTTCAGCTTCCAGCCTCCACTTCTCCACCCAAAAACAACTTTGGCTGTCATCTCCTTCCTCCCATTTTCCAGGACTGTGATGTGAACACCCAGAGGAACAAAGGTGCCACAACCCAGCTGCTCCTATATGCTGTGTCCAGCACTGCTCCCTCTTTTCTTCACCCAGTGTCAACAGACCACAGGACTCGGCACCTCCTCAGTTTCCCCAGAAAGAACACACCCACCCACACTCACAACAACAGGGGACAAGGTAAACTTTCCTGCAGATTTCAGAGCAGAGCTGGGGCAGGGGATCTGTAGCCCACAACTCACAGAAAACAACATTCCATTTTATTTTTCAGTGCTTCTTTCCAGCCGGCCACTCATTCATTTGTCACTTCCTCCCACCCCTGGGGTGGCAGGTGGCGGCCCAGAGAGGACTTCTCTCTTCTCCTTGTCTTTTCTTCTCCCTGTGCCCGACTCACACCCTGGACACACACAAATCCCTGTTGGAGTCTTGCTCGGGTTAGCCACCATCTTTTCTTATCTAGCACATACTTTGGGTACCTGCCTCCAGTCCAGGTGGTTTATTAAATATTTATTTCAAGTAAGTATTGTTCTCTCCCTGCTTGGAATCCTGGTTAATACATTAGCTCCCTCTACCAAACCCCCTTCACTGAAGCTCTTTAGAAAAATGAAGACAATGGAAATGTCTAGGCAGAGCTGTTGTGCCTGTCTTGGGGGAGGGGTGTGGGAGGTTCAGCTGCCTTTGCCTGCACTGGCCTTTCCCCCACTTGCTCCCTTTCGAAAGGTCACTGGTTTCAAAGGTCTCAGCAAGTCTGTCCTGAGCTCCTATTTTTCCATCTGTGGGTTTCTAGCTCCTCCTAACAGCAAGAGGGATTTGTCTCTGGTGAAGGCTGCCAAAGGTGGTGGCAGGAATCTTTCAGAGAGCAATTACCTTGAAGAGCCTTCCCTGGAGAACAGGCTTGTTCTCTTCCAAATTGGAAAATTCTCGCATGGTGCCAATTAGTCTAGAGGGCGCTTGGAACTTAACCAGCCTAAAATGCTAACAACTCTTAAAGGGAAAGTGAGCAAGGAACAAAGGCAACCTTCGGGCACCTTGGCAGCAGGCAGGTGGTTTTTAAAGAAAAAAAGCACAGGGTAATAATGAGCTGTTACCCTGGTGGAACACACTGGAATATAGTGTTAAAACCCATCACCAATTCAAGTTAAATGCAAGCCTTTTTTCTTTTTCCCCCAAAAGAGTATAGATTTCATTGCCAAGTTCTACAACCATCTCCTTTACCCTAGAGGTGAAATATCTATTCTGAAAAAAGACATAACATGAGAAACCTCCCAAAGTCCATACGTAAATGGATAGTTGGACCTGCTGAAGGTTAATTATTTATCATCATAATACAGTGGCCCAGGACGGTTGCATGCTTCTTTTTACTCACATCGGCTTTGGGATGCACTATATGGTTTCTTTTGAGACAGATTTGCTACCTAAAACAGCACTCAACTTTGTTCGCTTCCCCCAGGTGAGCAGCCACTGACTGGAGTAGTCCATAGGTGTGCAGACTGGCAGGAGGAAGCTGGCTCGCCGTGTGCAATCTCAAACCGGATGGTCCCCCTGCAGCTCGCTGGAGAGATGACTGAGCAAGCACCTGGAGGTTCAGTCCGGGATGAGTTAGGGGGAAAGAGGGAATCTTGCAGAAACTGGCCAGACCCATCACACGTGGTTTGGCAGAGAGCACAGTGAGTGGGGAGATCTGGTCCAGAGAGAGTTCTGTACCCAAAGGACATCAAATTAAGCTACGTGATTGATGACGCTATTTAATTCTGGAGAGAGTCACCTGGGTATAGCTCTTTGCTTTTGAGTCTGACCCTGACTTTGTTTTTTTTCATTTTTTTTGAGTTGAAGTATAGTTGACATACCATATTGCATTAGTTCCAGGTATACAACATAGTGATTCAACATTTATTTACATTACAAAATGATCACCCTAAGACTAATAACCTTCTGTCATCATACAAAGTTATTACAATATCTTTGACTACATTCCCTATGCCATACATTACCTCCTCATGACTTATTTATTTTATGACTGGAAGTTTGTACCTCTTCTCCTCTTCACCAATTTTGCTCAACTCCCACCCCCACCCCTCTGGCAACCACAAATTCGTTCTCTGTATCTATGAGTCTGTTTCTGTTTTGTTTGTTCATTTGTTTTGTTTTTTTTAGATTCCACATGTAAGTGAAATCATATGTTTCTTCTTTCTCTGTCTGGCTTATTTCACTTAGCATAATACCCTCTAGATCCATTCATCTTGTCACAAATGTGAAGTTCTCATTCTTTTTCTACGGTGGGGTAATATTCCACTGCATATATATATATATATATATATATATATATACACCACATTTTCTTTATCCATTCATCTACCCATGGACACCTAGGTTGCTTCCATATCTTGGTTATTGTAAATAATGCTGCAGTGAACATAGGGGTGCAGATATCTTTTTGAGTTAGTGTTTTTGTTTTCTTTGGATAAATACCCAGAAGCAGTATTGCTGGATTGTATGGTAGTTCTATTTTTAATTTTTTGAGGAACCTCTATAATACTGTTTTGCATAAATAGTAGGGTTTATGGTTGCACCAATTTGCATTCCCACCAGCAGTGTATGAGGGTTCCCTTTTCTCCACATCCTCACCAACACTTGTTATTTCTTGTCTTTTTGGTAATAGCCATTCTGACAGGTGTGAGGTGATATTTCATTGCAGTTTTGATTTGCATTTCCCTCATGATTTGTCATGTTAAGCATCTTTTCATGTGCCTGTTGGCCATTTGTATGTATTCTCTGGAAAAATGTTTATTCAGGTCCTCTGCCCATTTTTAATTGGATATTTTGATATTGAGTTGTATGAGTTCTTTATATATTTTGCATATTAATGCCTTATTGGGTATATCATTTGCAAATACCTCTTCCCATTTAGTAGGTTGCCTTTTTGTTTTGTTGATGATTTCCTTTGCTGTGCATAAGCTTTTTATTTTGACATAGTCCTATTTGTTTATTTTGCTTTTTTCGTCCTTGCCTGAGGAGACATATCTAAAAAAATATCGCTAAGACTGATGTAAAAGAGTTTACTATCTATGTTTTCTTCCAGGAGTTTTATGGATTCAGGTTTTACATTTAAGTCTGTAATCCATTTTGAGTTTATTTTTGTACATGGTGTAAGAAAGCAGTCCAGTTTTCCCAATACCATTTATTGAAGAGACTGTCTTTTCCCCATTGTATATTCTTGCCTCCTTTGTTGTAGATTAATTGACCACATAGGCGTGGGTTTATTTCTGGGCTCTATTCTGTTCCATTGATCTGTGTGTCTGTTTTTATGCCAGTACCATACAGTTTTGATCACTATAGCTTTACAGTATAGTTTGAAATCAGGGAGCATGATACCTCCAACTTTGTTCTTCTTTCTCAGGATTGCTGACTGATTTTGACTGCTGACAAATTCTAACGGCAGGAAAGAGCACGCACCAGGATTGCTTCTAAACATCACAGCAAAATGTTGCACTCCCTTCACTGCCCAAGAAATGATCACTTTTTTTGAGGAACAAAAAAACACCTGATTCCCCAATCCTAACATATTTTAGATCTGAGCCCTAAAGTGTCTGTGTTTTCACCAGACTTCATTTACTACAACCAAAGTACATTCTAACACAACCTTCTTTAGACTTGGCATTTTGCTTCTCTTTTTTAGATTGGCATTTTTTTGTGTGTGTGTGAGGAAGATCAGCTCTGAGCTAACATCCATGCTAATCCTCCTCGTTTTGCTGAGGAAGACTGGCCCTGAGCTAACATCTATTGCCAACCCTCCTCCTTTTTTTTTTTCTCCCCAAAGCCCCAGTAGATAGTTGTATGTCATAGTTGCACATCCCTCTAGTTGCTGTATGTGGGACGCGGCCTCAGCATGGCTGGAGAAGTGGTGCATCGGTGTGTGCCCGGGATCCGAACCCAGGCCGCCAGGAGCAGAGTACACGCACTTAACCGCTAAGCCACGGGGCCGGCCTCTAGATTGGCATTTTTATTTTAAAATATTTTCTCAGTGGTTTCTTTTCCCAGCCCAGATGAAAACAGGGTTTGACTTGAGCTTTAGTAAATTAAAACAGGTTATTCTTCTAGGAACAGAGTTAAATGTGCTCCCAGAGAGGTGCCAAATGCCACTGTATTTTTGGTTGCAGTTCTCTCAAGAGAGCCTGTAAATAGTTCTTGGAGTAGGGAGGATAACTTCCAGAAACATGATAAACTGGGAGAAGTTTACCCTGCCCCAACTCCCTTCTTTTCCTTTACACTTGAGGCAACTAAATTGGAAGTTGAATGTCATGAATCCTATCATTTTACTTGGGATTTCCTGCTGCTGACACTACAATTTTCCTTTTTGTTGAGATTAGGAATGCTGATGAAGCCAAACTGAAGGACACAATCTTAAAGTACATTTGAAATGCTTTTTCCCTTGGCAGTAATTCTTAACTTCTCTGGGCTTATGAAAAAGAGTGTAACAATGCCATTTCCAGTTTCTAAAACCACACAATATTTATTAGAATTAGGTTTGGCTGTACCTGGTAGAAAACCCAAACCTCCAGCGGCTTAAGATAGAACTTTGTTTCTCTCCCATGTAAAGAGAGGGAAGTGATGGAAAAGTGGAAATGGTGGCTCCACTCCTCAAAGTTCTCAGAGACCCTGGCTTCTTCCAGCTCATCTCTCCAATATGCCTATGATTTGGTTCCTTATGCTCATTGTCCCAAATGGTGGCATCCACATTCTAGCCAGTAAAATGAAAAGAGGAGGGGAAAAAGAGGGCGAAAGGCACCCACTGGGGAAGGTTTCCAGCTGCTGCCCAAGGAACACTTCTGCTTCTATCCTATTGGCCAGAACTTAGTCACATGGTCACACTTACCTACAAGGGAGGCTGGGAAATGTAGTTCTTTTTTTCTAGATGCCTATGTGCCCAGTTAAAAATTCTATTTCTATGCCATACATTCTAGGGCCTATGTTCTTAAAATTAATCAGTTTCTCTCAATTTTATCTTGATAAGTTCAAAATGCCTCTTGAGATTACTGTATAACAATTGAGATGGTGTAAAATCAGTATTAGAAATGCCCCACTTTTTATAATGTTCATACTCTTTTACCAGTAATTTTGCTTTTGGTAGTCCATACTAATTAAATAACTCTAAATACAGAAAGAGTTTTAAGCAAAACAATATTTATCACATAGTTATTTATAATCGCAAAAAATGGAATCAGAATGCCAAACTATACGGGATTGATCAAATAAACTATGGAACATGTCCTTAATAAAATATTATGCATCTGTTAAAAATTACATTTATAAAGAGTCCACAGTAATATAGAAAACTGCTTATCCTGTTAAACAAAAATATAGGGATATAAACTTGCAGTACAGTTAAAACTAACCTATATAGAGAGGAAAAAAATCAACCAACCCTAAAAATCAAACCCCAATGGATTTTTTAGTTAAGGAGACTTTTAATGAGTATTTTCCCTACACTTCATTTTCCAATTTTTCTTACTATTACACATTATTTTATTAGAAATAAAAATAAAGCCTCTTCTATTGTCTCTCTAGGTACTTAAATTCTACCCACGTCATGGGGCTCGGTTTAATCCTTCTTCCAATCCAAAAGCTTTCCTGATCGCTCCCTCTCTCTTCTGCATTACTGTTAATACCACTTGTAATGGAAAGTCACCTTTTTGGACCTGCCAACATCAAGGGAAATCTGCTGTGGGAGTCTTGGGGTCTAAAGGGGGCTCGACCTCCCCTCTTTCTGCTCCTGGGCAGATACGATACAGTCCTGTGACCTAGGCACACTAACCAGATGAAATGAAGCATGAGACATGCTCTAAATCAATCCATTTTGGGGGGTGGAGGGCAGAACAGGTGAAATAAGTTTGTTCATGAATTGATAATTGTTGAAATGAAGTGATAGGTACATAGTTGTTCATTATACTATTGTCTCTACTTTTGTATTTGTTTGAAATTTTCCATAATATAATTTTTTTAAATGATACCTAGGATTTACTCTAGTTTCGGAAACTGACTGGCTATGCAACTTCAACAGTTCATTTAATTAGGCATTAACAACTGCAAACAAAGCAGTAAATTTTAAGGCAGGAGGCAAATGTTAATTAGGTATCACTTGCATCATTTAGGGCTGTTTCAGTTGCAAGTGAAGGAAAATCTAACTCAAAATGGTTTTAGTGGGGCCGCCCGGTGGTGTAGTGGTTAAGTTCACGCATTCTACTTTGGTGCTCTGTGGTTTGCAGGTTCGAATCCCGGGCATGGACCAATGCACTGTTCATCAAGCATGCTGTGGTGGCATCCCACATATAAATAGAGGAAGATGGGCACAGATCAGATGTGAGCTCAGAGCCAATCTTCCTCAGCAAAAAGAGGATGACACACACACTTCCAAAAAAAAAAAAAAAGGTTTTAGCAATTTTTGAATCTCATAAATGAAAAGTTGGAGAATGCTTCTCCCTTCAGGTGTTGTTTGATCCAGGGCTCAAATACCTCATTGCACTGGGACTCTCTTTCTCTTCATCTCTTGGCTTTGCCTCTTGCCAAGTTAGCTCCATCCTCAGCCTTCACAAGGTGTCTCTTCAGGTTCACATCTGTCCTGTTTCAGCCCCAGCGGTAAAAGAGGGTAGCAGTTGCTGTTGGTGCCTCCCCCCACCGTGCCACGCACACTATATTGCCTTCATCTTTGTATTCCACCATCATCCATCCCAGTCCTTGCACATGGAAGGGGTTCAACAAATGCATCTAAAGCCTTCTTTGAATGGAAAACTTTTTGCCAGTGTACAAATACAGGGCCAGCCTCAGAGGAGGAACTCTGCAACACCCTGGAGGGAACTGTCTTTCTTTAGGCTTGTCTGATGACTAATGTCTGATAATCCTGTGGAGGATAATACCATTTGCAGGCTTCCCAAGGGATTAGCCTTTACCAAAAAAAAATCTTCTTTTTGTGGAATGATTAACAATAATAGCAACTAATGCTGGCTGATGGTTTACTGTGTATGCCCTTCATATTTAATCATCACAATAACCCTATCATTATCCCCATTTCACAAATAAGGAGGTTGAGGCACAGAACAGTTAAGTCAATTGCCTAAAGGCACCTGGCTAGTAGTGACCTGAGCCAGCAGTAATCCAGGTAATCAGGCTACAGGCTGGTTCTTCTGACCCCTGTGCTTCCTGGTCTTGGAGATACTTCCAAGCACTCCTTCCTACACAGTGGTTTCAGGCTTCTTCCGTCTCCAAGTCCCTCGCAAGTCGGCCTTCTCTACCTGGCTGTTAAGTGTTACGAGTTCCCATAGGATTCTTCCTAGCTCCTCCTCTCTTCTCACAGTCCAGACTTTCTCCCTGGGCAATTTCACTGAGGCCCTTGGGTTCAGTTGCCATCAGTATCAGGATTGCATTTGACTACATATAACAGAAAAAGTAACTAGACTAGCTTAACCAAAGGGGGGCTTACTTTTCTAGTAAGACAAAAATTCCTGATCTGGGGCTGACACAGCAGCTCTACAATGTCATCAACATCCCAGGGACCGTCAACTGTTCCTTTCCACCATCCTCATATGTAGCTTTCATTCTCCTGTTCTTTTTGTCTCATATAACAAGATAGATGCTCTGCCTCTGGCCTCCAGTTCATGTTCCAGGCAGGAAGATGGGGAAAGACAAAAATGTACCCATGTCTAATCTATCCCTTTGTATAAAGTTTTATGGAACTCTTATCCAGCTACTTCTGCTTACCACCTCATTGGTCAGAGCTGGCCATTCCTAGCAGCCAGGAAGTCAGGGAAGGTATCTTTAACTGGGCACATTGCACCATGACCAAATTTAAGACTCTGATGGAATTAAAAAATATATATATATATTTGATATATATATACAATAAAATAAAAAAAATATAAAAATATATATATTATATAGACACACACAATGGAATATTATTCAGCCACGAGAAAGGAAGAAATACAGCTATTAGCAACAACATAGATGGACCTTGAGGGGATCATGATAAATGAGATAAGTCAGAGAAAGACAAATACGGTATAATGTCACTTATATGTGGAATTTTAAAAAGGTGAACTCATAAAAACTGAGAGTAGAATGGTGGTTACCAGGGGCTGGGAGCTGGGGGAATTGGGGAGATGCTGTTTAAGTGTACAAACTTGCAACTAGTAAATAAATAAGTTCTGGAGACCTAAAGCACAGCATAGTGATTATAGTCAACAATACTGTCTTATAAACTTCAAAGTTGCTAAGAGATTAGATCTTCATTGTTTTCACCACAAAAAAGAAATGATAATTACAATATGTGACATGATAGAGGTGTTAGCTAATGCTACTATGGTAATCATGTTGCAACATGTAAATGTATCAAACCAACATGTTGTAAATTGACACAATGTTATATGTCAATTATATCTCAAAGAAAAAAAAAAAGAAGAGAAATGATATTGGGCAGGCAAACAACACACCATTTATACACCATGATCCCAAATTTAGAATTCCAGCTCAGACCTCTACACAAATTGAAGTTGAGTTCAGTTTATGCTGGACTCCCTACCGTATTGCAATAGTATTACTGAATAAAATCTATCCTCACCAGTTTAATTGTGTTCAGCTTTGTTTATCTTTGACACGATCTATTGTGAAGGCACATATTCTCTGCCCTCCTCTGCCCTTTCCTTGCAGGGTCTTTTTGATTCTCAAATACCTTTTCTTTTTTATTGCAAATCAAAAGCTGTGGTTTCCTAATGTTAATTAGCTGGGCTTTAGGAGCTTAAGTTGGAAAGCTAACTGTTTCTTTCTGTTTGCATTCTTGTTTTAATAACTCCAGTTCTTCTCCAGGCATCTTAGATGTCCCTGTATGATTAGGTGAAGGATCATATATACTCAGTAGAACAGAGAAGAAAATCACCAAGATTAATATTTCAAAACATTATCTTACTGTAGATATAGAATGCTTGTGGCAATAAATA